GATGAGCTTCGAGCCATACCTAGACCCAACACAGTGGCCACCTTATAATGGTTATGACTACGTGCCGCATCCGGATCTAATGAAGGTAGGGAAGGGTAGAAGGAAGAAGAAGCGACTGAAGGGGGACATGGACGCTATGAGAGGGTACGACGAAGACATGTACGGTGGGGGAGACTTCAACGAGACCTGTGGCAGAAATCTTTGCTCCGTTTGCAAACAATCTGGCCACAAGGCTAGCCGGCATAGAAGACAACAGGTGATTTTATATTGTGTTCGTATTGCATAACAAGTAGTTCAAATTTTGCTATGGTACATAATGTTGATCTGAAAAATATTAATTTAAATACTCTAACCCTTTTTATCATTTTGTAACAGGATGGCCCCTCCCACGCCGCACCAGCTATACCCCCTTCTTGATGTGGAGTACGACGACCCCCTTCTTCTACCGGACGACGAGGTTTCCAAGAGGCGTTCAAGGGATCCTTACATTCGTGGGACTTAGTTCATTACGTCGAACTTATGTCGAACGAATATTATCGTCGAAAACTTGTAGACTCATAAACAATATTGTGTGCCAACTTATCGTCCATTTATTAGCTTCATGTTCGTTTTGTACAGCACTTGTAGTTTAGTACAACACCGACAACAACTCAATTGTAGCTGGCTGGCCGTTTGGCTGACCGCGTCACTGACGCGCCATGTACTATGGCGCGGCACAGACGCGCCGTGGGCTATGGCGCGGCAGAACCATGCCTATGAGGCAACTGAAGCTGGCCTACGGCGCGGCAAATGGTTATATTCGTTTTAGAAATTTTGAACGCATGATACAAACAGTTGTGATCACTTAAGATCGATCATGGGTAATTCGAGTACATAATACATGGGTACAATACATCAGTAGTTCAAATCGAATATAAGACAACACAATATAATTTCTACTACATTGCTACATTGATCATTAATAATGCATGGAACTAACAGACGACGAATCAAAAACTCTCAGTCAGAAACATACTGAGTAAGCAACTCGTCGTCCGAGTACCAATCCTCAACCACAACCCTGTTGCTATGGCAAGGGTCACCTGCATTGCCCTGATATGCCTTTCTCCTGTAGTAAGCGGTCTCCGGTTCATCTACGGCCTCTGCGGCCTGAGTGAAGAACGCGTCGTCATCCTCCTCCGCCTGCAAGCCTGCCTCTGCTAGAGCGATGAGCTCGCTCAGTCTAGCAGTGTTGTCTTTCGCCTCATCCGCCTGCAAGCCCGCCTCTGCTAGAGCGATGAGCTCGCTGAGTCTGGCAGTGTCGTCGTCCTCCTCGTCCCCCTCATCAGACACCACAATCGGTGATTCAACGGTGCGACCAGCTCGCTTTCTGTGCTCATCTAGCTTTTTTTCCTCGTACCTTGTACGAGCCACATCTACGGCATGGTCCTCGCTAGATCCAATCCCTTCATGTATAAAATACAATCAGTTAGCAACGGGATTATATTACATTTAAAATCAGGCAACGAAAAAAAGGCTTTCAAGCACTTACTAGCACATAATGAAACAACATGCTCATTCAAGACCTGCATCTGTACTCTTGTCTCCTCACTTGCCTCCTTCCTTGCCCTCTCCTCCTCTAATGTCATCCGTCTCTCCAATCCCCATTTGACAAGGCTAACGTCGATTGGGTTACAAATATCGCGCTATCTAGCAAACTCACGCATCTTGTCTTTGTGATGTTTAACAAAAAGGTTGACGTAGTCAGGTCCATATCCCCTCTTCCGTGCAATTACTTGCTTCCCATTTAGTTCATCCAAGAACTTAGCTTGACCATCATAACATTCCCACCTGCATTTCCTTGTGCTCTGTTCAAACGATATATTATATCATATATGTCTTTGCAAAAGAAACAAAATACGATTTCATGGTTACCACAAAAATAACCAACCTCATCATAGTCAATCATATGGCCGCAATAATGGCATATTTCAAGCTCCAAAGGGACTAGACCGTAGTTAGATTTAACACCACATTCGCACTTGACTGGTGGTGCTTTGTAAATTAACCTTTCTTTCTTCTTTTGTTTTTCTTTTGGAGGTTCTTCGGGCCATTTGTTCTTAGGACCATACAACCACTTCTTGAAACGACACTTCGCCATTGAATACACCTAAAGAACGTGACATTAGTACATGACACATATAGCTCAACTTTTGAACAAATACACTTTGCACTTACTTTATGCTTGTTTGGACACACAAACTCCAACGTATTGTCAGGGTTTATCACGGCTCGGTCTCCGCAATGGCACAGAGGAGGTTCCTCGAGTTGTCTAACTACGGCTAAGTGCTTCTCCTTAGCTGTCATTGGAGGGGGGTTAGGGGGAGGTGGAACCCACCGCTTGAAGTGCTCTCGTGGATGTCGCCCTCTCCACCAATCGTCGAAAAGGAGGTACCTGGGGTCAAACTTGTCAGCACCGTCGATCCACTGAAAGAAAAAGCCCCTCTCATAGTCCTACACAACAAAATATTAGTAAACTAGTAATACAAATGAAAATAAAAATATACGGAAATAATTACTTACATTAAAACGACTGCACGTGTAGAAGCAACGAGCCGCTGTGTCCGGATGTCTCGATTGAAACACGTCGGCTGGACGACCACAGTCACAATTAGGGACATGGAGTTCAGGAGGGACGGGGGCATCTTTGCTAGACTCATCGGGGTACATTTCTCTAGGACGACCCCGTTTTCGCCATAACTGCTCCCGAAACATGTCTTCCATCTAATAAAACGGTTCAAATTAAACATCAATCAAAACAACGCAAATTAATGAAAAATGTAATCATTTGCAATGCAACTAAAATATTATAAACAACAATTATAGCAACAAAAAAATACATGGCACACATACTTCTAACTAAATAATTAACCTTAACATTGATAAAATCAAACTTATATCTTCACCATAGTTCACAAACATAATTTTTCTGCTAACCTTAACTCCATTCATAATATCCTATGCACCAGTCAAACGAAAATAAAATATGCGTCATTACCTTAAACGAGGACGAGTAGGGATGGAGGCGGCCGGGGAATGGAAGGGAAGGGAGGGAGGCGGCAATGGAGGGCCGACGGTTGGGGCTGCCGCCGTTCGTGGCGCGGTGGCCGGCGTGGTTGGCGATGGGCGGCCGCGGTGGCGACGGACGGGAGTGGGAGCGACGGCTAGCGGCCTTGGTGCTCGGGCAACGGGACTGGCCGCGGGGTTATACCTGGCTCTGCCGCGCCACGGATCAGGGCGCGGCACTGCCGCGCCAAGATCGGTGGTGCGGCAGAGCCTTGCCACGTCAGCGGTCAGCGGTGATGGTCGCCGCCACGTCAGGCCTCTGCCGCGCCGCCATGCATGGCGCGGCACAGGTATTTGGCCGCGCTAGGGAAATAGGCACGGCCAAAAGTGTTAGTTTTAAAAAAACCAAATTTAAAATTAGTTTCGAAAAAAGGTTAAAATTAAAAAAAAATCGATCGGACAAGAGATAGTTTTAAAAAAATATCCCAAATTCACAGAAATATTTTTTAAATATTTTTAAATGGAAAAATAATTCAATTAAAAATCTTAAAATCTGGTTTGATCTTAGAAAATTCATATAAATTTTTTTAGCTTTGAAAATTATAAAACTAGTTTACTTTTTCTTTTCTAAAACCATGGTGAATCTTATGGTGCCTAGCTCGATATTGTTTGAATCTTGCTGGACTTATTTTGTTGCTTATTTGCTAGCAGAAGCTCTCGTTGTCTATTATAATTAGTCAATGTAGAAGCGTCGGTGGAGCGTCGTTATATGAATTATGGAGTATAGTGCCCCAGGGAAATCCAGATGGTGGCACACAGATCATGATGTTTGTACAAGTAGCACATCAGTCATGAAGTTACAAATAACATCGACTAATTATGATGGATAACAAGAGCTTCAACTGGCAAAAAAGCAGCAAAACGAGCCCATCAAAGATTCAAACAATTTCAAGCTAGGCACCACAAGATAGAGAGCATGATTTTAGAATAAAAAAATAAAAAGTATTGTTCGCTGATTTGTTGTAAGAGAAAAACACTGTACCATGTCTGATAAGTTCAAGCGAACAGGGCATTATGATTTTTAATTGCATTAGTTTCCATTAAAAGTATTTTATTGTTTTTGAAAACTATTTTTTATAAATTTTTGGGCATCATTTTTAAAAAGATTTTCTAGTCCGTTTTACCTTCTGAACTTTGAAATTAGTCCAATTTACTCCTCTGACGTGGCAACACGTCAATAAAACCTCTGTCAAAACCGTCCAGAGTGAAAAAGAAACAAATGGTTTTAAAGTTGTTGAAAGAGGTAAAAAAAAAGCTGAGGGGTCAAAAGAACTTCTTTCTTTCTTTCATAGGGGTTAGGGAAGCTACCCAGCTTTTGTTGTTCTTTATTTGATCAGGCAAAGCAAGATGAGAGCATATGTGATGTGTGTCTCTCTAAACGCGTGTGCCTCCGATCCGATCCGGGCCCGGCACCGAGAGTAGTGAAGCGTGCACGGACGGACCCTTGATTTCATCGTACCTGGAAGGGTCTAAATGCAGTGTGTACGTACGTGGAACAACCAACTCAGCAAGCAGGTCTGAAGTCTAAACGCGATCCCTTGATTTCTTCGATCGGCCACATGCAGCGTTGACCGTGTCGACCGAACGATCCATCCAGTGGCTCTGGTCGCCTGAGATTAAGTTGTACGTGCAGCTAGCTGCAACCATCATCCTTGATTAATTGTCTACCTTTCTTGTGGCGTTGATCCTATTGTCACGCAATGTCGTATGTATTCTTGTCACCAATAATCCATGGGTCGGTCGTCGACGGATCATCAGCAACAAAACACAGCATTAAACTCGCACCAAACGGCCCAAACCATGCATACAGAGGAGCTAGTAGTGCAAGCACGTGTATATATATATATATATGTGAACGAGAGTTTCTGGCTGCAGAGTGCAGGCATAGTTCCTATATGGCTATGGCGGCGGCGGTGCTGCTCGCGGTGGCCGCCGTGGTGATGGTGGAGGTGGCCGCGGCGGCGACGTACACGGTGGGCGCGCCGGCTGGGCTGTGGGACATGCAGACGGACTACGCGGAGTGGGTGAAGACCAAGACCTTCCACCCCGGCGACAACATCAGTCAGTGACCTCTCTGTGTGCGTGTGTCTCTGTTCGTTATTGTTTCGGTCGGTCGCTGACGCGCACGCGGCCATGCATATATGATCGTCCTGTGGCAGCGTTCACGTACTCGCCGGAGCTGCACGACGTGGTGGAGGTGACGGAGGCCGGGTACGACGCCTGCTCCAGCGCCAACAACATCTCCGCCTTCCGCACCGGCAACGACGTCGTGGCCCTCGCCGCCGTCGGCACGCGCTACTTCCTCTGCGGCCTCACGGGCCACTGCGGCAACGGCATGAAGATCCGCGTCGACGTCGTCGCAGGGGGGACCGCGCCAGGACCCGCGCCCGCGGCGTCTTCCACCACCACCGCGGCCTCGCCCGCCGTTTCCGGGTTCGGCTCCGGCCTCCTTGTAGCCGTCGTGACGGCGGCCTTCTGGTAGCCGGCCAGGCGTAGGCGTACGCTCTTCGGTTCTGATTTCTGAATGGCTTAATGTCCTCGCAACCTTTTACCACTATATACATATATTAGTATTGTAATTCATTTCATGTCATCTACTTATATTGATCTCTACCCGTTGGTCCAATGGTTAATTGGGCTACAAATTCTATTAATGGTACCAGAGCCAGATTTTCTAGCGTGTAGATTTAGATCGGGGTAGAAAAGAGAAAAGAAATTAGAAGAAGCTGAGAGATTTCTAAGTTTTTCCCAAACCCTAACCCTAGATCGCAAGAATAGAAAGGATGGAGAGGAGAGGATCCTACCTGGGTACACTCGCCGCCGTCACCACCGCCGTCGTGCGGGAAGAAGTCCCACCACCGCCGACCGCCTGATGGCGCTGTGCGGGAAGTTGTGCCAAGCCGGCGCACGGGCCGGAGCTCAGGGCACCGCCATGCGGCCGCTCGACGGCGGTGCGCCCACCCTCGGGGGAGCGCGCGCCAGGTAGAGGCCTCGCAGCGGCGCCGTCATCTGCCAGCCGTCGCCACCGTCGGCCGTCGTCTGGACGCCGCGCGGAAAGAGGGAGCGTGGTCTTGCCGCAGGCGCATTTTCCACCTCGGGTCATAGGGCACCACCGGGGAGCTGCTCGACGGCGCCACGCGCTGCTTCGGCCGCACGCGTGCGCCGGCGAGGGATACCACGGCGGCGCCTCCGTTGTGAGTTTCCCAAGTGCGAGCGGCTGCGGCGGCTGCAGAGGGCGGCGAAGAGAAAGAAAGAGGTAGAGGGTGGATAGCCGGATCTACTCTGGCGGAGATTTTTTCCCTCATCGGCGCCGACGGCCGCCGTGGCCGCCGCCGCTATCGCCTCTGCGATGAAGAGGAGAGGAGAGGGAGGGAGAACGAATGAACTAGGGTTTAGGGGAGCGGCGGCCGCCCGGGGTTTTTGTTCCACCGAGATCACCGCCTGGCCGTTTGATCACGATCGACGGCCGACGTTGATCGGGCCGGCTTTCAGCCCAGTCGGGGCAGCGGATTCTCGGCCCAGGCCCAGGTTGCGGCCTAGGCGCGGGGGAGCGGGCACGTGCGGTGGCGAAGCAGGCCACGAGCGCAGGTGCTGTTGGGCCCCGCACTGCCGCTACGTCATGAGCCGCGCGCGAGCACCTGATGGGTCGGGCCGAATGCACAGTAAATGTTATAAATTTGTTTATTTATTTTCAGAAGCGAATTTTGATGAATTTTGATTAGTTTTTTATCTCTATTCAATTTTGAACCAACGGAATAAATTGTTTAGAGAGTAGATAAGTACACAGTAAAATGCTTCTAAAAAGTAGATAAAGAATTTTTTCATGTTTCCGCCGCAAAGTTTAATGTTTATTATCTTCTACTTAAATTCGAACCAACGGAAGAATTTAATTTTAAGAGCAGTTATATTTATTCAGTAAATTATGATTATGTTTATCCTCTAATTAAATTAGAAATAACGGGAAAAATTAAATTAGAGGAGTAATCCGATTTGTTTATGTTAAATTATGGTATTGTTATTTTCTGACCAACGTTGATGATAACAATATTATAATGAGTTTAAGGTTGAAGTTTAAATCTCTGATAAATTTTATACTAACATGGTTAATTTTTCAGAGAGTAGATAAAGAACTAGAAATGCTCCTGAACTAATAGAATGTATTTTATTACCGTGTTTCCGCTGCAATGAAGTTGATTATCTTCTAATTAAATTCGAACCAACGGGAGAATTTAATCTTGAAGAGTAGTTATATGTCTTTCAAGTTAATTTATGAGTTTAATGCATTAATTATATTTTCCGTCCAACGGTGATGTAAAATTGATGCAGAAGCATCTTGTAAGTTTTAATTTTTTTTAACCAACGAGATCACTCGGCTGCATGCCAACGGGCTGTAATGCTAGGGTATGTGAATGAAAAGGCTTGAGTCAAGCCAGTTCAGAACAGTTTTTTGTTAGTTTAATAATTTTCTGATTAAATTGGAACCAACAGAAAGATTTAATTAGAAAATAAAGTATAAGTGAATGTTTTTAGTCATCATGACTAAATTTTTCGTTACGGTAGTTTGTATATAAATTTATCCCGTATGGGAAGAAGTTTGGCATAGTAATTATGTTAGTCAATCCTGCATGACGAGAGAAGTTTTATAATGACCCATATGTTTTTGTATCCCGCGTAGCGAGAGAAGTTTGGGTAGCTCTTATGCTACCCTAGTATTGACCATGACACAATAGAAATGCACCGTCATGGTCAATACTAATCAAGGGACACAAAAAAAGATGCAAGCGTGACTTGCAAAAGTACTGCTAATAAAAGACCTCGATGAGTTCTTAAAGTGGAATGAAGAAAGTGTACTCCTATACGGATTAAGAAATAACTTTGTTTGCAGACCTAATCATGTGAATAAAGTAAGTTATAAGTGTCTCCTCGTTCATAGTTTTTCTGAATAGTTCTCAAAATTATGACAGTAAAGTTCATGCCATATTTCGAAGGAAAGGAATAGTAAAATCAATTAAGAAACATACTCTTTATTAAGAGTGAGATAAAGATTAATTAAGATGAATGTGACCATCGGAGGAGTACAACGGTGTAAGGTTCTAATGGCTATAGGGGGGGTGAATAGCCTAATAAAAAATTATACAAGAACACTTAACAAACCGGTTAGACAATTAAGAGGCGAAGCAAGTGTTGCGCTAGCCTACTAAAAATGCAAGCCACCTACCACAATTTTAGTTTCTATTTTCTCTAACCACACAATAGCTATGGCACTACACTAAGTTAGTGTGTTCTCAAAGACTAGCTAAAGAGCCACACTAACCAAACTAACAAGCTCTCACAACTAGCTACATTAAAGAGCTTGATAACTAGTTTGCGGTAATGTAAAGAGAGAGAGCAAGATAGTTATACCGACGTGTCGAGGAGTTAACCAATCAATCACAAGAATCAATATCAATAAAGATCAATCACCTCAGAATTAAATAATGAACACAATAATTTTTTACCGAAGTTCACTTGCTTGCCGACAAGCTACTCCTCGTTGTGACGATTCACTCACTTGGAGGTTCACGCACTAATTGGCATCACACGCCAAACTCTCAATAGGGTGCCGCACAACCAACACAAGATGAGGATCACACAAGCCACGAGCAATCCACTAGAGTACCTTTTGGCTCTCCGCCGGGGAAAGGTCAATCACCACCCTCACAATCACCACGATCGGAGCGGGCGACAATCACCACCCTCCGCTCAATGATCCTCGCTGCTCCAAGCCGTCTAGGTGGTGGCAACCACCAAGAGTAACAAGCGAATTCCGCAGTAAAACATGAACACCAAGTGCCTCTAGATGCAAACACTCAAGCAATGCACTTAGATTCACTCTCAATCTCACAAAGATGATGAATCAATGATGGAGATGAGTGAGAGGGCTTTGGCTAAGCTCACAAGGTTGCTATATTAATACAAATGGCCAAGAGAGTGAGCTTGAGCTGGTTATGGGGCTTAAATAGAAGCCTCCACGAAATAGAGCCGTTGGGCTCCTCACTGCACTGAACACGGGCCGACCGGACGCTCTGATCAGATTGACCGAATGCTGGACCTCAGCGTTCGGTCACGCGATGCGTGCCACATGTCCCCTCTCTTCAAATGTTGATCGTCTGATCTCAATGGTCAAGTGACGACCGGACGCAGCAGCTCAAAGTGACCGGACGCTGATCCCTAGCGTCTGGTCGTTTCCAGTAAGCATCTAGAGATGACTTTTCACGACCGGACGCGTCCGGTCATGCTCGACCAGACTCACCCAGCGTCCGGTCACACGGTGACTCTTCTATGTGCTTCCACATCGGCACGATCGGACGCACCCCTCCAGCGTCCGGTCACTAAGTGACCCAGCGTCCGGTCAGAGACCGACGCCAGCGTCTTCATGCTCCACCTGACCGGACGCGCCGGTCCTTCCGAGACCAGCGTCCGGTCACTTATAGTGACCTCTGTCTTTTCTGTCTAGGGCGCCGGTGGCACCGTCGGACTGTCCGCACACTATGGGCGGACACTCCACCGGTGAAGTTTCCTATCCTTGCTCAAATGTGCCAACCACGAAGTGTATCACCTTATGCACATGTGTTAGCATATTTTCACAAACATTTTCAAGGGTGTTAGCACTCCACTAGATCCTAAATGCATATGCAATGAGTTAGAGCATCTAGTGGCTCTTTGATAACCGCATTCTGATACGAGTTTCATCCCTCTTAATAGTACGGCTATCGATCCTAAATGTGATCACACTCACTAAGTGTCTCGATCACCAAAATAAAATAGCTCCTACCTTTGCCTTGAGCTTTTTGTTTTTCTCTTTCTTCTTTTCAAGTCTAAGCACTTGATCATCACCATGGCATCGCCATCATCATGTCATGATCTTCATTTGCTTCACCACTTGGAATATGCTACCAATTTCATGATCACTTGATAAACTAGGTTAGCACTTAGGGTTTTATCAATTCACCAAAATCAAACTAGAGCTTTCAAACGGTCACAATAACGATACCCCTAAGCAGAGAAATAGCTAAATTCCTAGAGGAAGATAGAGTAGTCACTATCAAAGATATTAAGGCGGTGCTTAAAGCGCCATATAAGGTTTTAACGGATTAAACCCAAATAAGAAATTTGAAGATACACTATCTTTATAAAAGATGGGATGATCTGAGGGAGCATGGTATGTAGAGACTATGACTTGAAGAGAAGCGGGACTGCATGCCCACTTCAGTGATTCAAAACAACGAATTTTCTCAATACCTGTTGATATTGTATGACTTATACAACACCTGTTGTTGGCTCTTCGAAGAAGATGAATAATGTAAACAAGGATCTTGTGATACAGGAGCCTGTAGAATCAATTGACTCTTGGCAATGAAGAGCAACGATAGCCCCACATGAAAGTGCCAGTAGTTGAGGCCCCAGAAGGTCTTAAAGAATTAGTAAACCAGCTTTCTGATG